TAATACCAGTCACTGAAATATAAAAACAACACTCTCTTATTCACTGATTGGGAGCAACAACTTTTACATTCCAAGAACAGTTATGCATTTATTGCTCCTCTAGGCTGCAAATGTAATACTTGTGACTTTTACAGGCTATCACAATTTATCTACAAATACTAGAAGTCCGAATTATCTTCTCATGGATGAATGTTAATTTCTATTTATCTCCAAAAAGTGCATTAACATTTAAATGAACTGTTCTGCATATGTAAAAATTTACTGTAAAGTTACATGAAGTAATAGATATTAATAAAAGTCCTGCAACTCAGTATTATGAATTGTTCAAGGCAATAATGTGAAAGATGTTAGCAATAACACTGACATATCTAAAAGTGAAAAATACTGATTGCAGTAATCAGTATCAGAAGATAATGTAATAACAGTTCCTACTTACACACACTGATAGCAACAGTATGATCTCAGAATCATGATTACTCCCAAGAAAAATTATCTGTATTTCCAGTGTTCATATCATCTTTTTACAGGCAGATCCTCCAGAATCTGTGGGGGAAAGTGTGCCTTGTATTTAGCATACTCCAGGACTCCAAATTGAGCAGGTTTTTATGAAATTAACTAGAAGCGTTGAATTTAAAGAAATCTATGAAAATTTAACCCTGCAAACTTTCACTTTAAGTAACTCACAGGACAATATCATTTCACATATCTGTAAAACATTTCTGGGCATCAGTCCTTGCTCCCAGATGACCGTGACTTCATACCAGTGAACAAAACTAATCCATGGACATTTGGATTTTCATGCCCTGATGTCTGGAATTTCATGTCCTGATGTCTTGAAAAGTTGTTTTGGTTTTGTTTGTCAAAACAACTGGCTCATTAATGAAAGCCTGAGATGCCACTGACCTTCTCTAATGGTTCCTAGAAGCACTAACCACATTGCTGCAGCATTGTAAGGGACTTGTTCTAACCTGACCTTTTTTCTAGTCCTGTACATGACATGTGCTCTTGGCATCTCTTGACAAAGTGTTTATCAAAATAAACTTGCACTGTCCAAGGCACCAGCATAGATGGCATTGTAGTACGGTCTGTGCTAATAATCACTAGTGGAAATAGATTTTAAAAACATTTATTCATAGCAAAATCTTTCACTGCTCCAAGCTACCTGTATCTTCTCCTTTGTCAATACTAGGCATGACATGTAAAACACCAAACACAAGATCCAGAAGGAGAAGTAAAGTACTCGTAAAAGCAGTCATTACAAGGTGAGGGGAAAAAGCCCCACAAAAGTCCATAAAAATGAAATTAAGTCAAAATCTACAGCAATAGGCATGGAGAATGTTGTAACCTAGTGCAAATCTGAAAATCTGCATTACTACACACACAGTGCAATATACTTATTTTAGGTGTGCAATAAAAATCATCAAATGAACCATAGACTATATTTTCTTTCTGTTAGAACGTCACTTCAGATACTCAGAACATAATTTTTTTTCCTTGTAACATACTGACAGAACTGGAACTGCATCTATACATTCATTTTACAGTTTAGAGAGTTTGAAAAATCCTTGCCTAGAATCAGGTGGAGACACAAACACAAAGGTAAGTCTTGGGAAGTGCTGTGAGCATGTGAAACAATAGGGGGGTTTTTAATATGTTTTACATTTGTTACTACTTTGTAATTTTGAAATCCAAACTTGTTTCCTTAATGATATTAAGTCATCATTTAAACCTGTTGGAAAGAAATAACTTCCAGTAGACTTCAAATATTCCAACTGTACCACAGAGGTGACCTCACATGTTCTGTGTCCCATAAGGGATGCACCAGCAGCAAGCCAAGGAGCCTTCCCCTCTCAGGATCTTACAGAAGCTTCACTGCAGCAATATGACATTGATAGACACATCCCTTTGCTCAGGTAGAATTGGTTGTGGAATATAAAGTAGTAGAAACTGAAGCTCCCCTTTTATAATAGAACCATGATTGCTGAAAACTTGTAAGTTAAGCTTTATGTAATTAGGAAAGAGTTCCCATAATCAAAATAGCAAACAGAGATGTCAATATAGGTGACAAAGATTTTCAAGTTACCACAGGGGGGGCACAGCCTCTACTGCAACAGCAAATTTCAGACACACCTGTAAGGTTGCTGGGGTTCATCCCAACAATATAAACAGATGTTACCATTTTCAGAAATGCTTCGGGACTACCCACTTGATCACATCCCAGCCGTTGAGACATTCCATACCAGGTTACATCACTATCTCCTGCAAGCTTACTGTTTATGCCACACAGAGATACTGTATCTGCAAAGTTTACAAAGTTACTGAAAATTCACACATCAAGGTCTCTTGCAAGTTTAAGTCCTCGCCCCTATGGTTTGGTTGGCGCTCACAAAGAAACACTTTTTTCAGCAGAGAAAGTATGACTGAAAAGTGCCATTTACACATCTTACTCTGAAAGCTGTTGTCAGGATGAGGTTTAAAGATCAACCAAGAAAATTCTTTCTCCACTGAAATATTCTAGGAGTCCTAAGACCAAATGAACAAATAAAAATCTACCAGTATAACTTACACTAAAAAGTAAGAAATATTTTACAGATGTATTTTGTGGGGTGAGGGGTGTAATGAGTCAGCCATTTTCTTTAAATTAGGATCTCTTTAACCTTGGAACCTTAGCAATTTTGGCACAGGAATTTTTCATTCAAATATGCAGCATAAAAAGGCAAGATATGAAAGCCATTTCATTATTTTCTTGCCAAAAAAAGCAAACATGGTACTGATGAAACGTTCAGCAGTACTGAAGAATAGTCCTGCATCAGTCTAGAGAGAAAGCAATTATGTACAGAATGTAAGAATCCAACAGAAACCTTTGGTTTCAGTATTAGTAACAAATTCAGCAGAATTTAAAGGATTGCAAAGGCATTGCTCCTTCTGATTCTTTGCCCAGATTTACTGCCATTTTTGCTGTAATTGATCTTTTAGCACAATTCTGTTCAGCTTCAGAGCTGCCTTCAGAGTTCAATAGACAGCAGGGTAACTAACAATTGCATGAATTTTTCTTACTCCCTGGGAAGCCTTTGGGCAGCAAGTCAGAAACATTCTGAAGTATTCATGAAGGAGAATAATTTTAAGGCAGGGAGACATGAAACCCTGGAAAGAAATATAATAGAATATTTCTCTATATAATATTTTGTCTGGCAGAAAGAGCTCTGTCACAACAGGAACAGAATGAAATTAGGCAAAGTCAAAGAAACAAGTCTTTAAAAATCCTGCTATGACCCATGGAAAAATCTTGCAAAAACACTGGGGGATGGCCAAAGGACACACAGCACCATGGCAGAACAGCACCACAGACCTAAAAAAGTTACTCCCTCTGAGGACTGAGTACACAGGACGAAATCTACTTCATGTTTTACTCTACTTTTGACAAGTTCTTCCATCTTGTAATTACATTTCTGTTTTTTCACAATAATACAGCCCACATTATTTCTACAGGACGTACCTTACCTCCAAAAATACCTTTTATCAAAATAAGAATCTTATGTATCAGTTGAATCTCCTCACCTACTACACCAGTTAATCTGATATACTTATTATTAAAAAGCAGAGGTGATGTTTTTTCTCCACTAGGTCACCATCTCTAAGTATCTCTTATTTAATCACACGGTATTTTCCCCAGGCCTTCCACAGAGTTAAAATTGTGCCAGAGAATACTAAACTGCCTGATCTTCCCTGATTCTGGAAGAAAAGTAACAAGCCTCAAATAATTACATAAACAAAAGCACTGTAAGCTAAAACTAAATCCTGCCTTTAATATCTAAGCAAGGTGTAATTAAACTGAAAAATATTGTCAGAGCACTCATACATGAAAAATCCAAAACCAAAATAAATTTGGTCTAAGCATGAAAGCAGCACCATTCTGGACAGCCTCTCAGGTACACATGCATGCAAGCAGGGTATCTGACAAGCTGTAACACTGTGCATGATCACTTCAAGAAAGGTGTTATAGGCAGAGTTTGTGTGCAACAGCAAGGAACAGAGCTGCTGATGCAAACAATTTCATGTAGTTGTGGTATTATCACACTGTTTTGTTGGTCTGTTTGGTTTAACTGTTTCCATTTCTTACAAATACCTTCATCACTATTTCAAGAAAAGATATTTCATTAATAACATCATTGAATGCCTTTACTCTGGAACATTGGTAATATCCTTTAAAATAATGGCCTTAAACTTTTTTTAACTCTAACAAGTGTCAATGTCCTTCTTTGGTCCACTCCATTTTTCCAAGGCATGCTGCTGAACATTTGAGGATGACGACACTGATTTCTCTAGTAGCTTTATAAAAGTGTTGGAATTATCCTTTGCTTTATTCTTTATCCACCTTGAAATTTGTTTATTTTTTGCAAACTAACTGTATAGATGGATAAGGAGTCATGAATTGCACAAACAGAAACCACACTGGCCTTGGTGCTGCTTTTGTCTTCCTTCCTGAATTTTTATCTGTAAGTGCATCTGAGTTTTTTCATTTTCCCCCTATTGAACACAGTTACTTAGGACAGAGAAGTGCAAGCTAATGTTGCACTATCTACAGAGGTAATGTGTATAATAGAGTCTTATAATTTTGTTTTAATCCTTTGACATTATCGAGCTCTCCTAAGCTCAACTATAAAAAGTTATGCCTCAACACTTTGAGCACAGCTGCTAGCTATAACTTCAACTCACTTCACTCAAAATATTTCCACTTATTTAGATATACAAATTATCAGACCAACAGTGCCAATGAAAAGCTAAAGAAAGACAAGAAACACAAGTGGTGTTCCACAGGAGGAAAAAAAAATCAAACCACCAGCAAAATCCATTTTCCTCAGCTTCCAGTGAGGCATATCTTCAGCTGAGCTCCGGGCAGCGCACGCTCCCGCCGCCCCCGCCCCGCCGCCGAGGAGGGCACGGCGGAGCGCCAGCCCGCCCGGCCCCCGGCACCGCCTCGGCCCCGCCGCGCCGCTCACCAGCAGCGGCACGCCGAAGGTCATCGTGCGGCCCCTCCACAGCCGCCGCAGCTTCTCCATGCCCCGCTCCCGCCCCACGGCCCGGCCCCACCTCCCGCCTCCGCCGCGGCGCTTCCGGCGGGCCGCGGCTCCGCCCCGCAGCGGCCCCTCCGCCGCGGCGGCGCCGGTTCCGCCGCGGCTCCGCCCCGCAGCGGCCCCTCCGGCCCGGGCACGCCGGTTCCGCCGCGGCTCCGCTCCGCCCCGCAGCGGCCCCTCCGCCGCGGGGGCGCCGGCCCGGGCATGCCGGTTCCGCCGCGGCTCCGCCCCTTCCCTGCACACACCTCCCCGACACTCGCAGCCCCCTCACACCCCCTCACACCCGCCTTCATAGCTCGTTGAGCAGGCCTAGTCAGGAGCTGCATCTTTTCATTCTGTAGCCTGCTTTCCTAAGGAACGAAAATTGCCGCCCGTGATCATCTGTTTTTCTGCATTGTTATCCCTTGTCTCAGCCAAAATGAACAAAAAAACCCCCACCTTTTCAAAACAAAGCTGGCTACAACAGTGCTAGTGAACAGCCTTACACTGATATTTAGAGCCAATAGTCCTTGCTGGGTGCTAGGAATTAAATGTGCCTGCCCTCCACCGCAGCGCAGTGCCGGAGCGCTGACTTGTTACAGACAAGAGCGCCCGTTCCCCGGCACAGGCGGCAATGTTTTCACGTGCGACTGCAGCCAGAGGTTCTGCCCTGTTCTGGTAGCCTGTGGCAATTGCCAAGCGGAGATAGGAGCCTGTCAGGTCCTCTTTTACATACTTCTGAATCACTACACAGCCTTTTCATACACAGCGATGGCATGCAGGGCAGGGATGAAGTAGAACAGGGCACCTGCTGCCTCAACTCAAAGAGTGATTTAAAAACATTTGAAAATAGAACATTGATGATCCCTTCCTTTGGTTTTCTCCATTAATCAAGGAAGTGGTGGAGGTACTTAATAAAGTTTTCTGACCATGTTAATTAGAGAGCACATATACACAAACTAAAAAAATAATAAAATCAAACCCATATAGTAAGATAAGCTAATATTATTGCAATCCAATATCCACTGACTTGTTCTGAGAGCCCTACCAGTCTAGAGAGAAAGAAACAAAACTGAATAACAATAATAATAAAAAAAAAACCAATATAGCAGGAAATGGCTATTTCTTGAGTACCTCAGTAAAACAAGGGCAACATGGGTCTGAATTCCAGAGATGCAAACTCTCAGCTGGGAGTAGTGAGAGCAAGAGCACAGGTCTGTCAGTGTCCATCCCCATGCTGTGCTGAGCCTGGGATGAACTCATCACAGAGCACAGGCTCCGTGCTGGGAAACTGGCACACCCAGGGCCTCTGAAAGCACGAGTGTCCCTTCTACAGAATTTGAGAAAAATAGGCCTCAAATCACAGATTGGTGAAGAGGAAGGCAACTGACCAGAAAGAAAACAGAAAGAATGTCATTAAATTAAGGGAATTGCTACTATAGATAAAAACATGCTGAGAAAAGAGGTTGCTAGTTGCTTCTCTCCTTTTATGCCTTCCCTAGCAACAGTTTGTTTTGCACCTTTAATATTCCAGTGTTAGGCTAACCTTACCTCCAGTCTTAGAGTCCCACCTGAATACTGTTAGGTCACTGCTAGAGATGTAACCCACAGCTGCTGAGGCCCATTTGCAGAATTGGTGGCCTATCATCCCAGCTTTTCAATGGACACCAAAATTCCTGGCTGAAAGAAGAAGGGTTAAATTTGTTCATCTGCTATGGGGTGCTCTGTTAAGATTCATATGGTGTTCTTTTGTTTTCATTGGTAACTGCTGTTGGTATTTAAAATTTTCCACATGGTGTTATGCAGAGAAAGCAGCAAGAGAAAGTAAACGTGTAACTAAATACAAATATTATATAATTATGTAATAACAACAATTTTGTAATAATTGGAAGGATAATAAAAATGCCTGAGACAAACACACTGTAACACAGCTGAACAGTAAATTAGGATGTTAAAATGCCTTAATGTTTAATAATCTAAAATGCTGTTAAATTACAGAGGTAAAGCCATCATCAATATATATTTTATTTCCACAGTGTCGTTTTGTTCTTTTCATTATTGGTTGATCAGTCACCTTGAACAGAGAGGGGTAGGGAGAAACAGTTTTGAAGATTGGAGTATATTCCAGGTTTGATTTACAGAAGAGGTTTGATGCCTCCTTGATGTGACCCATACTGTCATAAACAGACAAACGTAAAAGCAGGTAAACAAACATCTGGGGGTTTTATGACATTCACAGCTTGCCCCAAATGTTGTTCCAAATATTTCAAGCATATATTTATATTCCCAAGTAGGCTAAATGTGGTTTTCTTGTCCAGGTTTTCATCCAGCTAAGCGTTTTTTACTTTGTGAAGTACTGTGAGAGGGTTTTCTGTGTGAAATGTGCCTCTGGAGCCCATCTCCTAGATGTATACATGATGCTTCATCTGAAGGTGCAGAGCAGAAACACAAGGGTGATGGCTGGCTGGCTTTTGTCACAGCAAAGGGGATGAGGTGTTTCTGATTGTAGTTGCCCTGGCCTGGACAAATGGTCTGGGAAAGCCTCTTCTTACTTTCCCCCTGAGAAGGACCTTTAAAATTCATTGCACATAATGTGCTGCTGGCTGTTGGCAGAAACCCTGGGAACTTCAGACAAATGAAGCTTGCAATGCTGCAATGGTTTAGGCTGCAATGACCATGACTGCAGGGAATACAGAATGAAACGGTGCATTGTGCAATATGGTTTCTGGGCAGCGGCATGGAGACCATGATGGAAATCGTATTAAACATCCCTGGACAAGCCATACTAATCAAGATTGGTATTGGACTGGTTACTGAGAGCTGCAGAATGGCTCACAATGCAACACTGGCTGTAGGTAGCCAAGGTTAATAAGGAACATGACTTTAGTTCAGTACAGAACTTGCAGCAGTTTGTACAGAGGATGAAAATGAGAGGCATGTTGTAAAGGTTTTGTTGGCTGAACACACATCACTTTAGGAGGCAATGGAGCAAGGCCATCCTGTGAGTTACATTTCCATCCAGTAGGTCTCTCCAGAGCCTTCTGCTTCACTAAAGGCATGCACATATAACAAATCATTACACATTGTCTGTGCAGACATGCTGTACATCATAGCTGAGACTTTCAGCCCTGAAAGCACACACTCCTGTATACCTGAGCTAAAGAAACAGCTGGTTGGACTTTGCATCCATTTGTGACCAAAAAAAGGAAACAACCAACATCTTAAGGGCTTGTAGTAACCTCTGGGTCCAGGGTGGAAGTCCTGGTTTAGTAATAGCTGTTGAGAACACCATTTCTAAAATGACAACTCCCTTTCAGCACACTACCTGTTCCTTTGTCATCCTCCTTTGTGTAGCCAAGAGAGTTGCAAGGCAGGGAGGGGACCTGGATTTCCCCTTTCATTGTTTCCTACACCTTCTGACTAGAATTCCTAGTGAGGTAATTGAGTGGAAGAGTTAGTGTGCTTGTCCCTTCCTCATTCTGTGCTTTCTCATCAGCTGTCGGAATTAGCAAAAAAAACATCCAATGACCTGATTCTTGTCAGGAGCCAACTTGGAGAGGCCAGTGAGCCAGCTGTGCCCATGTTTGATTCCACTGAAATAGTGCACACAGAGGAAGGCACCATGGTTGCCCATGCATTGGAAGGGTCATTTGTGCTTTCCAGATGTGGCCCAGTTTCTCCCTCCACCTCCAAAAATGGAGGAGAAAAGAACAGGTTGACATTCTTTGTGTTCACCATTCTGTTTTTATCTTCTTGGGTTGGCTTGAAAATAGGCCAGGGAAGGATGGCTCTGAAGCCATGTTTAATGTCTGTGAGTGCAGGAGGAAAATCTGAAGGAAATGCTGACCTTCCAAACAGATTCACTCTCCTCTTCCTTGTGCTCAGGAAGACCATTTCCCCAAATACAGCCAGCAAATGTCAGCTAGGAGAGAGATTCCAAGGGAATCTGGGGATCTGGGGTGGGGGGAAAGGAAACCAGGAATAGTGCCTAGGATTAGGAAAACTGAGAAGGTTCTGTGCCAAAAAGCACCAATATGGTCAAGTCATCTCTGCATCTACTTAGTAGCTGCTCTAATCACCACAGCCCCGTGCTCTTTATGACCCCAAAGAAAAGCCACAGTAACACATTCATTTTCTAGGTTCTTTGTTATTATTTTCAAGAGCAGGACAATCATTTAAGCTCTTAAATTTGAGTACTGAAAACAGGTGGTTGTAGAACAGGAGCACCTTTCATTTGTCCTTCACATGAGTTAGAAACCTGATAATTACAAAAGGGATGGATCTGAGTGGAGTTTGTTGCTGGTCTAAGAAATGAGAAGGTTGAGTTCTGGCTCTGGTTCCTTCACTGGGTTTGGGCAGGTGATTTGTCAGTGGGGACGGGAAAACCCAGCCAAAACAGAGAAGAGACTGCTGGGCTTAAATGGGAGAGGAAAAGATAAAAAGATAAAACAGTTCCAGAGTAGGAACATCACAGTATGTGCACTCTGCCCATACACATGCTTTCATGCCTGAGAGAGTCAGCAGTTCTCTGTAGATCAAGGATCATGGAGGCCCCTGGAGGAGAATACAGTTTAGTCACCACAATCCTCAGTTCTGTGTCGGGGTTCACAGTCATTTTGCTGAGCAACTGTAGTGGCAGTCCTTGGAAAAAGGACTGAAGTGGAAAGGTCTTGTCCCCTGTGTTGTCTGTTGAAGAGAGAACCCAATGTGTGTGAAAGGGTGTGAGAAATAAATAGAACAAGAGAGCAGGGATGTTACTTGAGGGCAAACTGGGCAGTTTAGACCCGTGTATGTCTACAGGTTCGTGATGTGCCTGAGGCAGAGGGGGCTGCAGAGGTGGAGGGGGACTCCTCATCCGTTGTGTCCCCTTGTTCCTCCTTGTGGAGGCCAAGGCTGATGTGGCTCTGCAGGGCTGCTGGGGTCAGCCATTCCTTAGGGAGGCAGCTCTGGAGGAAGGGGATGCATGAGCTGAAGTAGGCCAGGCGGTTCACCCAGCGAGGGATCTCTTTCCCACATAGTATCTGTGGAGTAAACCAAAGAGAAGCA